CATGCTTTATTTTCCCGACTGCTTGGCATTTCAGCCAGAGCCATTTTTCAAAACATACTGGAATGTCGTGGGAAGTTTTTCAACTTTAATTTAATGTCATAATGCCCCAGAAGAAGGAACTACAGAGACCTTTCTATGTACAGTAGCAGGTCTTAACCGCCATGTACTGAATATTAAGCAAGAAAAACCCTGGGAGCTTGATAATTAAAAGTGACAAAGTTCTTATTTGCCACTCCTCCCTATTAGCAACCTGAAATCTTCTGGTATACATTAATGAAGAGATAGATAGTCAGTTACTTTCTAAATATAGCTGTAAAAGCAAACCAAAGTGGAGCTGCTTTTCCACCTGACACTTATTACAGCAATTTCCTACACTACTTTTGGAAAAAGCATCTGCTGAGTGATACCAATTAAATTATAAGCACTCAAAAGGAATTTATTTTTATAGACCAGTGAAAAACAGTATTTTACCCTTGGTGTCCTAAAAATAACTTAAGCTTTTTAGAGTTTGATACCAATGATCTTCTAACGATTGCAAGGAATTTCATTTTATTTAATTTTGCACTGTGAAAATCACTCCACTGGGCAAGAGAAAAACTCTTCTGTAGGATCTTGTCGTATAAATAAGCAGCACGTGGCTCTGGCAGTTCATATCTCAGAGGAAGGAGTACAGTCCGTACCTCTCTTTGAATGCTAGGAGACGTAGCAGCAAAAACAGTATTGATTAGCAGGAACCAAGGTTTGGTGGGTGTAAAAGAAATGTTTCAAATTAAAAAAAAAACCACAATGCACGTACTTTAGCTAGAGTAGCTGAGATCTTTTAAAAAAAGATTAAAAGAGAGAAAATGCCAATCTTTCCTTTCCTGAGGTATCTCATCCCAATAAACGAACACCAATACAAAAATACAGTGCAAAATGACGTGCCCGGTTTTAAATGTTATGATTGTTTCAGGTTATTACCGTCTCGTAAATATTTCTTTCGAAGTCTTTCAAACTGAATTTTCTGACATTCAGTTTTGGCAGCTGCATACGAAAAATCGCAGTCTCAAAAATCGACTTGCTGTGGAGCAAGTCCTAGGAAAGTCTTCTAATTTCATTTCAGGACTGTAACGATGCAGTGTCCTTATCCCATTAGAACATTGGCTACTGGCAAATCCTGAAACACTTGAATGAATCCTGAAGATTCCTAACGGTGAACTACTCCATCAGACTCTTTAACCAGTCTATTTTCAACAGGCTTTCAGCCATGCGGGCGAGAAACCAACTTACAAAAACACTGTACGGCTTTTATGTAACAATGCATAAAAGACGCCGTTTGTTTTACAGGACAATGGCATTGTTTGCTCGCAATAAAAAACTGCACAAATGGACTTGCACAAAAGAATTTGACCTCTCTGAGCCAATAAAACCTGGGTCTTGGAACACAACCAATTTCAGCAGCTGATTGCGTTTTAGGGATACATTACTCAATAAACCCTCTGTTGCCAGCTGTGTGATGCTGTGTTCTTGGAAACTTAGTATATAATAAGTACATCAAATGTATGCTTATATATAATGACAGAAACAAAAAGTGAAATTTTATGACTCAACCCGATAGGATGATTGTCAACTTTCCAAAGAACTAACAAGAATTCAGGAAACTGGTTCCGACTGAAATGAGAAAATACCTTAAGCTCGAATTCAAAGGCGGCCCAAGGGCAAACTTCCTCAGAGGAATCATAGCTACTGACCCCTTGCGCGCGACGTGGAGAAACCCAAATAAAAATATTTTCAGAGAAAAGGAGCATTTTAGAACAATGTCCTTCCGCAGCAAAGGGGTCTAAATCTTTATCCTAAATTTATCAAAAGATAAACTGAGAATGTGTTAGAACAGAACTGGGGAAAGGGGCTTTGCTGCACTAATATGCTCTGTTAGTACCGCTCTTAACGCGTTCATTTTTGAACAACCGGTCATCATAGATCTGCTTTACTGCTCATAAGGATTCAACTTGGACGAACACATTACAGCATACCGCACCTCAAGCCAGTACTCCCTGACAAGGGACACTGTACCAGGAAGCACTGGGTCCATGGTGGTTTGCATGAAGTGCATATGCAGACAGATTAGAGACGTCAAGAATCCTAACCAGCATGGACACCAATGCAGATGTGGGGAGAACATGCAAACTCCACACAGCAGGATTTCCCAGGTTAGACTCCAAACCTGGATCCAAGAACCGAGAGCCAGCAAGGCTGATCACTGCACCACTGTGATGCCATATATACCTGAAGAATGCATAAAGCTAATGACGCAATGATACAAATAGTCATAACAGCAGTTGTGTTCAGAGTTCGGCTATATAGACCCCACAAAAAGGTTTACGTGACTAAACGTCACGTTCGGATTTAAGTGACTAAAAACTGTATGTACAGAACACCTCCACAGGTAGCAGGCTCCTCTGAAGCCCCGTGCTGGAGAACATAAGCAGACACCTCCCGTCACATCACTTCAAAACGCACACCGGAGTTCGTGTTCGATGGCATGCCTCCCAGAAGGTGGAAATTAAATGACATAAAAAACTTTAGTTAATTACTTTGAGCAGAATATATCTTGCGATATGTGGCAGAAATGTGGAAACCTATTTCAAAAAGGTTCTTTTGATGCTTCCCAGGTGTTTAAAAACATATGGCACATAAAGGAGGACATTACATAATAGTCTGCTGTCAGCAGAATCCCCAACCACTCATCCACACTACCACAATAGCATCTTTGTTCAGCCAGCACATAACTTCCATTAAGGTCCTCTGCTGACCTTGCCAACTTATTCTACAACTCTTAAAAAATCTAGTATTTTCCTATCCTTTTTTTGTTTACTTATTCATTGAACACTTATATCTAACTCGGTGCAAACTTATCCATCAACACCCCCCCACACACACACACACATATTTTGGGAAAACAATAGACTTCAGATCTAGAATTTCACTGATTTTTTTTTAAACACTGTTAAATCCCAGCTCAAAATCTCTTCTTTATGCCATAATATGACACGAAAAGAGACATTGAGACTGTCCCATCGGGATTCGGTCTTTCAGCGCAAGATTTTAAATTAGTTCCTCAGGGCGCCACAATATGTGCTTAAAGGCACTGCAACAGTAAACCCAACGAGTGTAAACGTATTGGCGATATTTCAATAAAAAATTGATTTCATTCCCCCCCCCAATGAAAATTTTGGTGGGTTCTCTTCAGACGCTGGAGTAGAAGGAACGAACGAACCTCACTTGATTTTCGGACCACGAAAGCAGACCCTTTTGGCTTTTGGGGTATGAAGGAGGGGGTGTCAGAAAAGTAACCCCCCCGAGATAACTGCGCTCATAGCGACATCGCTTCTTAATCCTTCGACGTCGGCTCATTGCGAGGAGGAATTCGGCAAGCTCTGGGACTCAAGGAACGTGAGCCCCTGTGAGACAGGTTAGCTTTACCCTACCGCCGTGTTCTTGCAATATTAGCCCAGCTCAGTATGAGAGAAACAGCAGGGTTCGACATTCGGTGGAGGTGGAATCATACCTGAACACTTTAAGTCAGAACCCCTCCAAAGATAATCTAACCCCCCCTGAACGCGGGGTACAGCTCCTGTTTTTCAATTCCACACAGCCTTTAGTTTGTCTCTCTGCCTGCACCGGCTGTAAAAAGAGCACATTGACTTGCTGCCTGCTCTGCTGTTCATTTCATTTGTGCTGAAAGCCAGGCATGAAGACTGAATTTTAAACATGTGACATTTACAGCGTGTTTGGCCATTTGAAGCTGTGAGAACTCAAGGGAGACCCTGCCACACCAGCCACTTCTCATTTTTAATCCTGCCCTGCGTCGGGCACATCAATTGCTTTCCCTCAAGTGAAAATCTCGGAGAAAAGGCTTAAGTACCTTTCTGATTGGGCAAGCTGCTCGATGGGGAAGCTTTGAATGAAGCTCACGTTCCTTTTATGTTTCCAGGTGGTGCTGCTTGTGCTAATCAAATTCAGCGTGCTACTTAGTGGCGGAGATCCGTCTTTTATGAAGACGCAGATCGCGACAATAGAGAAGATTTTGAGAATCGTGCAACAAATCCGACACCAGCCTCTAACATTAAATTGACGCACTTTGCGTGATTAGCTATTTGTTGTCCCATCAATCCCTCGTAGAAACATCCCACATTAAGCGCAGGATGATCCGAGAGCTCCATCATCACAGCTGAAGAATTGCATGCTGGTACATGGTGAGCCTTTGCCAAACACGCAGAACTCACAGTTAAAGTTTGAATGGAGCAATCTGCTAGAATACTCTTAAAAAATACATTACTTACAGAAAAGGTACGTGAGAAACTAGCACTAGTGGATATTAACGAAAGACTGCATAGTGAATGAAGCCGTCTAGCTTCATGAGCCAGATGGGTGCTGCACTTCAGCAGCAGATCCCCATTCTATATGTGCAGTGCTTGTCGTCATTATGATGAAAGCTACTGTAAAAATGCATACAATTATAAACTAACGACTAAAGAAGAGTTACAAAATAAGCACGCTCCATTCTGCATAAACAAAGGCTACTATTTGAATTATATGCTTTGTTTGGTGGTTTAGGGATCAAAAGTCCTGTCCTGGAGTGCCCCTGTGCGGGCTTCTGGTGTGTTCACTAAATGGCATCATCAAGGAACTCTGAAGGAAGGTATTTTCATCTGCACAGCCATTTTGCACAAAGAAGGGGTTTGTTCCAAGTAAGTGTCATACTGATGCGCCTTTGGGAACAATCCACACACTGCATGAAGATACAGTAATGTGAAAAGTCCAACTTGTTATTACTATCCCTGCACAACAACTAAAGAACAGAAGAGTAAAATGAGAAGAGAAAAAGTATATATTGTAAATGTAAAAAAAATGTGGTTATAATACATCATAGTCAACTCTGGATGTTATAGATCAAGTTCAAATACAGATCTACACAACTTGAAACGTATTAATTGAGTGAGTTTTTAATGTGGACTGACCTGATGGATAATCTCAGCCACAGGCAGCTGTTGAACATACGTCTGTGGCTCAGATGATGTCATGATTGTCGCAGGCCTGAAAAAAACAAAATAACACTTGACAATGAAAATACATCCACAGGCAAGACATGAGACACAAAATAACACACATGGGCTGAGAAGACATTTTAAATTCAATAACAAGAGTACTCTGTTGCTGGGGTGCCCAGTCCTGGTTGCCCACACACCTGCTGGTCTTCATTCCAGCCCAGTTTGAAGAACAGAACTGAAGCCTTAATTGAACTAATTGAACTTGTTTGATTTGAATATTTGCAAGTTTGTTTGTTGTTTTTTTTCCTACTCGGAAGTTTGGAATTTTAAGTTTACTTATGAAATGCAATAATTAAAATGCAGCCTCCTACCCATTTAAGAGATGAAAACGGGCAAACAATTAAAATCAACCCATTCAATTCAGGATGCTAGTGTAACGCAGGTCATCTGGAACAAAACCCTGCAGGTTTTTTGGCCTCCAGGACCAGAACTGTGAACCCCTACTCTATTGCAGACGAACACACAATCAAACAGCAGAGTAAATGAAGCAGCTCCATTAGGCAAGCAATGGAGCCAACGTGTTGTCAGAAGACTACAGAAAGCAATATACAATCGCAAAAGTATTCAATGCAGGCTGGAGAACCTGTCTGTGTGGAGTTTACAAGTTTGCCCTGAGCTCACAAGGGTGTTTTGCAGACACTCCCAAAAACATGCTGGCTAGATTTGATTGGCTCCTCTAAAGTGTCCCTTCTTCTGAGGTCCTGTGATGGACTGGTGCCCTATCCCAACCATGGTGAGCGCTGGGGTGCTTTCAGAGCTGGTTCACACCCTGCACTCCCAGGGGAGACTCCCGCACAAGGGGTATTCAGATATCAGAAGGATGGAAAGGCCTCGACTCCTGGAGGCTGTACAAACAGCTTAGCATTTGTGATGAGACCTTGCCGCAGGAAAAGAAATACAAAACATTTCCCATCTGGCTGCACAGGGTGCACTGAACAGCTTCTTGAGGTTTGCTTGCGTTTTGCAAATTGTAGAGGATATGCACAGCAGATAAGTCATTAGTGTGCTAAACTGGAATTCTTGGTCTCCGCTTTACACTTATTGATTTCCAAAATTAGAATCTAATTAATTTTGGGTTGCACTGTACAGGAGAAAGCTTAGTTCATCCGAGATACTGACGCATCAGGGAACTCAGTATAGGAAGGTGCTTTAAAAAAAAAAGTTAAAAGATTTATATTTGCACAAAAATTCCACTGCTGCTGAGCCATTACCCTGACATACAGCACATCGATGACCATTACCCAGGGCAAACAGAAAAAAGCTCAATTAATTCATCTGGCACTTCCACACTAAAAACTTGAGTGTTGTGTAGGATGGGAAAACAATGTGAACCAGTAGAGAGCAAAACCTTGAAGAAAATCATTGAGGAGGTATACCTTTTTATACTTAATATATTTTTCTGTTAAAGCACTTAAATAACTAGCCTTGGATACATATTACCCAGATAGCAATAAAAAAGTAATGCAAAGTGAAAAGTAAGATTTATCCACATCTTATTTCCTCCTGTTAAAAGCAAATTCATTTTTGAACCGATGGGATCGGCTTTGGTTTTACTGAGCAGGAGATCCAGCTTGCCTGCTCCTAAACTAATCTGGCATATCATTCTCCCGTGCCACCTCCCAGAGGAACGTTATTCCAAAAGGGAGCCGACATCCTCGATATGGAGTTTTTAATGAAAGTTCGGGAGGAATGAAGGCAGCCGAGCTCATTCGACACAGCGGCTGCAATTCCCACTCATTCGGACGTAAGCAACCGGTCTCCGGATATGCCAGACGTCACCCTCTCTTCCCCCTCGCTCGTTTTCTGCATCCCTCCTCCACCCCCTCTCCACCTCTGCAGCTGCCCAGTGGGTCGCTTGGGGGGGTCCAATCCCCCCCGTCCAACGGCCGGGAGGTTGGCCCTCAGCCAAGCGGGTTACGCCAAGTCTTCACCTCCCAATAAACGATTCTAATCTCTCCCAACCTTCCGGCTGCTGTCATTCCCCGTGAAGTACAGGAATAGCTCCAATGACTTCTCACTGGTCACTCCCGCGTTCCCGAACCACAGGGCCGAAGATACAGAAGAAAAAATCTAGGCTGACTCATTTTGAGCCAGCCAATAAACGAGACTGCCACTCTCTCTTAAGACACCCCTGTTTGAAATAAAGCAGCAACGCGTTATTTGCCATTTCCTGATAGACTGAGCAGAACTCTGTGTCCCTTAAATATACTGACTAGTAGGAAGCGTCTAACAGATGTCAGCATGTGGGAAAGATGTCACATTGATCCCATCATACGAATGGATAAAAAAAACAGATGAAAGAGGTACTCATCTACTATAATTTAGAAAAACAGATGCGACCAAGTTTGCTTTTCTTGCTTTGGCGCCTAGCTAGGCAGGTGAAACACTCCAAGAACACAGCTATAATCCCATTAATGACAGTGAGGAGGAAAACTAATATAGAACAAGTTTTCAAGATCACTTGATAAAAAGAGATCTACTGCTTTGTACTACTTGGAAATTAAAACAAACTGGAAATGCAAGAGAATGACAGTGCGTATGGTACACAAATCTATGGAGCAGATTTAGAGAGCTATGAAGAAAAGTGTTTGACTTTGAGCTTAACATTTTGTATTATTTTTCAGTTTTTCTGGAACACAACTTAAATACAACAGCAAATTATCATCAGAAATTCTGCATTTTATATGAATAGTCAGTAAAACCAATGTAAAAAATAACAGCTACTACAGAACTGAATACTATGTGAAAACCTCTGTCTAAATTTGACACAGCATCTGTCTGTTATGAGATTTTGATGCTTACTTAAAAAAAAAAACATTCTCTTAAAGCACTGTAAAAAAAGATGGGACCATTAAAGTATGACTCAGTCTCAAAATGTCATTTATGTGAAAAAAACTGCAGTGGCAGATCATTCTCTAGGGAAAAAAAACTAACAAGGTAGTAAAATATGACTGCTAATATCTGAAATTAATATAATATCAGATTAATTTTAACTACTGCAAGGTACATTTTTGATGGTTGGCTCCCTACATATCCTAATGCTTTGTCATTTACTCTCTAAATTAAATCTGTGCTGTTTAAACAAATTGTATTTCATAGTTCAGTTATTTATAACCACTGGTTCAAATTTAATTACGGGCATTAAGCACTAGTGAAGTGGGTAGAATGATTGCTTTTGAATCCTGTTTCTTGCACAGATAAATCCATCACAATGGATGAAACATATACCTGCAGTAAATATATTCCATCCTTGATTCTCAACTACATTTACCTTTTAATGAGGGTCTCGGGCCTATACCATAAATCCAACATCTCCAGTCCTGGTCCTCAGGAGTTTCAGATGCATTTGATTTAACCAAGATCAGCTAAGCCAATGGTTTGTTAAAATAAGTGATTTAGATAACACTTGGGACCAAAATCTAAATACTCTTCATCCTGCAAGGACCAGTGCTCAGCAGGCTACTTGCTTAATTTAGTAATTAAGTGTTGCCAATCTTGAGAATCAGGTAAGACTAACTGGATTGGGGCTCTCCAGGACTAGAGGTTGATAACCCCATGACACTGATCATCCACAGCATATGTGATGCAATGAGGCATTTTCCACTGTCCACTCATTTGACATCACTGCCCATTCATGGCTATTCAACCAACTGGAACATGCATTATGAGCTAGAACATTGAAAACAACTCTGCTTCAGAACGAAACAGTTCGTCCACCAAATACGGAGACAAAGAAACCTTACAGCACTGAAGATCCAGAAGCATAAATCATGAAACAAAGCTAGACATTAAGACGTGTAACAAATGCCATTTGTTGAGACAGTAACCGTTAAATAAAACTATGACCTTCAAGAAGCCTCTGTACACGTTGTGCTGTAAATTCCCAGTAACAAATTCTGATTGATTTCCAATTTACAAGTTAATTTAAGGAACAACAGTAGTAGGGTACTACTATAGAGTAGTGGAGTTTATAAAAAAAAACATTGTTTGGTACATGTGAATGGCTGTTCATTACCATTTAGGGCATTTATCATTGCAACTCAATTTCACATATGATTATTGGGGCTACACTACAAACTTTTAGAGCAGCGCAACTGAAAATCAAAAGAGCAAGAAAAACTATTACCAGTCAAAGGCATATCTGTGAAAACAACAGTATATTATTAGCCTGTACGCGTTGTGATTAAAGGAAGAACTTATTACCCTTTGATTATAATCTCACAGCAAGGAACACCAGAACACGGGCAACAAAGAAAGGAGAAAAAGGGTTGCAAGAATCTACGTGACGGCAGAAGAAGAAATTGAGGTTGTGTCCTTTGTAGCTGTGATTCAGAGCACTTTTCAGATAGTGGCGGTTCTGCTCGAACGCTCAAGATAAAATTTAGACCTCCAGCGAACAATCTTCATTTTCATTCCCTGCTGGTACAATGGTCACGGTTGCAGAATATTGAGTAACTGATGAAATAAAAAAGTAACTCAACAGGGAACGCCACAGCATCAATTTCTTCTGGTCGCCCTGCACGAATATGCAGGACACAGCTCAAGGGAGGCTCCTTCTTCACTGCTTAGCAAACGCACATGATGGGGCTGGCTAGTGGACATTTTCATACCCAACCCACTTGAAAATAAAGGATTCAGAACGGAAACCACAGCATCAACAGCTCAAAAAGCAAAAGGGTTTACTACTGTGCTACTCTAAATTTGTAGCACCGATAACACATACTAAATACAGATACGCATAACGGCCAGTCTTTAAGACAAAGCAATTTTTGAAAGAACTGTATTGAAAAAAAAGCAAAGTTTATATTTATATATTTTAAACTCAAAAAGTATACGCAGTAATTAAATAATTACCAACAGAGAGGAAAGGCACCCTACAATGGATACCAGTCAGGGAGAAACAGCTCTGTAGTTGCTAAATGTTTTATTGCATATTTAGGAGAGACGACTCACAAAGTGTGTCTACAGAAACTTTAAACTAGGCCTTACAAACAAATGACACAAAACTTTTCTTTCATCTTGCAATGAACACGTATAATATCAGTACTGAATACTTGTTGTCTAAATTATTTAACATTTCTCTCCATGAGGCAGAGGGAGAGAGGCTGAGAAGCCAGTCTTCATCGTCTCTGCTGCCCGGAGGCTGAAACGCTACTGAAATCTAATCTGGGATGCTAATTAGTTGTAACCTACTTCAAATTATGTCACTGTGTCCAACATACAGCAGTTGAGCTGAAATTAATTTAAAAAAAACCTGTTGGAACTGGTGGGTTTCATGCTTTTAGGAGGCCAGTCACTATATTACATACGAGCCTGTTTGCCCATTTGAATGCCTCTTCTATTACAGTTTCCCATTCCCTTCAAATCAAGATTTATTTTTTTCTTTCACGAAAGATCTGGCTGTTATAGTTCCTAATATTAAAATTAAATTCCCACTGTGAAACAAAATGTATAAAAACATGAGGCAGAACACCCTAGGAATGCGTTTAATATCGCCCTTACATTTTGTACTTACGGGGATCCACATGAAGATGGAGGTATTACGAATACACTATTAACAGTTTTACTTAAGGTTGCCACACAAGACTAATTAGCCAGCTGTTTGTGAGAGAGAGATGCAGGTAAATAATCAATTTATGCAATTCATTTCTGGAACAGAGTCTCATACGTGTGTTTTTCTCTTTTCCATTTGGCATCAAGAGACTGGTTGCAGATTCAACTGACAAGGTTAGAGATGTTTACATGAATTAATTAAATGAAAAACATGGTGTCCTAATTTGTGAAAGAAAATGAGCTTCAGATGCAAAAGACCTGAACTCTGAAAGAGTACATTCAAGACACGCCACCTCCATCTAGTGTTACAATCATGTAAGTACCGAATTCTCTCTTCGGACCGGGCATTTCAACATTACAACCTTTACCTTCTATAGAAAATTCTTAAAACCCATCCATCTTTACATTAATGCTATGTATAAACACCTAAACATATAGATAGTATCGTGTGTTACATGCACTTGTCAAATATTATTATACGTCCCATACAACACCAAGACGCAGCGCCTGTGCAGACTATTAAAGAGCTGTTGAAGACTTAGATCATCCTACTACAAGTTGTGCCGACTGGCTTGTGTGCTTCGTGTGCACGGCATCTTTTGTCATATGATAAACACCAGGGCAGGTGTAAAATGCGCCTTTACTCAGACAAGATGATCAGACGGCCTCTCTTTAACACAGCAAACATGCGGCCCATTGACCAGACAAATCCAAAAACAGCCGCCGCGAGGATCGGAAATCTCCACTCCAAATGGCATAAGACACGCTGGCTTTCTTAAAGGCCTCTGCACTGTTAAGCGGAACAGTATTTAAACGCACATGGTTATAATTAGTGTCCGTTTTTAGTGTACATTCTGCCCAGGAGAAGTATAAGAACTGGTGGAGGCGGAAGACAAGTTGCGTCGGGTTGCAGAAGTCAAGCGCCTCATGTGACTGAAGCCGCTTCTTTGAAGACCACTGGATCAATAAGAGAAGGACATGGGCTGAATGGCCTCCTCTTGTTTGTATTTGTAACCATTCTTATGTTCCCACGTGGGAACGTGCTCTCAGATGGCTCGGCCAGTAAGGGCCGGGCGGTTTCTGGGGATTTGTGGCCCCACCTTCGCTTGGCTTGAGGGGAAAGGGGGACCCCTTCAGAGGCAGTGAGGAACGGGGGGCCGGTGGGGGTCAGAGGTGCCTGTCTGAGCTTCCTCATTTCCCCTTATGTGGGAACGACCGTCACTGCAATGAACTGAAATCTACACATGCACACAGCTGGCAATTTCGGATGGGAAGGGCTCATCATAACAAATGGTGATTCTACATTTTAAAAAAAAAAACATTCAATGGCTTTTGGTTAATACTGTACGTTTCTCCCCATATTGGAGAAACAGCTCAATGTATTGTCAATGGCTCAAAATCCATAGAAAATAATTTAAAAGACTGAAGGAAAAATGTCTGAAAAGGATCATTTAAAGTGGTTTTACACGGTACATGGTTTTAACCTTTAGCAGTAACGCCGAGTCCAATGTGGGGTGGTAAAACTGTGCAGAAGAATGTAATCCAAGCACAGGTCTGGCAGCACATATTCAGAGCCTCGATCATCAGTGAGCACACTGCACACTGCACACTGCACACTGCACACTGCACACTGCACACTGCACACTGCACACTGCACACTGCACACTGCACACTGCACACTGCAC